AAAAAAAAAATCCCCGGATCTTGTTCCTTCGGGTCTAACGTAACTGACTCATGTGTTCTGAATGTGATCTTTGAATCTTTAAAAGTCCCACCCCATCATGACAGAAGAAGTGAATTCAACACACTGTACTGAGGGTTACTTTATGACAGATAAATTATCTATTTGGTTGTCTTGCTTCACATGTTTTTGTAGGTATTTATCAAGTTAAATCAGGATGGCATTAGTTTCCGGTTCATCTCTTAGATGACGCACTATGTTTAAGTTTCACACATCAGTAGAATTGTTTCGTTTGACGATAAATGGAGGAGTTATAAAATGATTTCATCCCGCTTGAGGAGCTCCAATAATGTTAATGCAGACTAGACAAGAAAGAAGGCAAACGCAAACAATATTTGTTATTGCATTTTATTTCAATAGCGAATTGAGTATTACTTCAATGAAGTATCTTCGTGTCATCTTTATGAACCTCATTTTAATTCAAAGGTATTAGATGTTCTACATTAGGATCCGTTAAGTTTAAGTTTAATAATACTTTGCCACATAAAAAGAGGGGTGGGGTAGTGACAGCGGGAGACTTACTTCCAGTCCAAGGCCACTCTCTTTTCATTAGTTTTTCTGAAACTGAATTAAGAGTGAAATTGCCTTCTTTTATTGCTATCCAGTGAAGGGTTTTTTTACTTACGCCTATCCGAAAGATGCAATGAAGAAAATTAGATATTATATTATTTTAGCACAAATATTTCAACTCTCAAGCAGGGATGAGTTTTATGTGTGACAGGATAAAATCGGATAAATCTTGCTTTGTGGCCAGTGATCAGGTAATGCTTCACAATACTATGTTGATCTGTGTTTCCTGGGAACACCTGCGAACGAGAAGAATACATCTCAGATTACGTAGTGTGAAGAGTGAACTGCTGGGTGGAATAACACGTTGAAACCTTTGGTATAAACTGCAAAGGAATTTCTTTAATTTCAAAATCTCCGAAGAAAGTAGCCATGCCCATATTATTATATAACGTAGATAGGAACCAGAAAGTGTACCAACGGAAACTATA